CCTAATTTAGCAGTGAAAGAGAAAAGGGAAGGCAGCTAGTCATCACCACCCACCGCCAACTCTTGGGCTACTCTTTTACCATCGAATAGTGGGATTCAGCGTCACATTATAACGCCCACACAGCTAAAAGGGCGAACATGTTCGGTGGGACAGGTATTCGAACCTGCGACCCGCAGATTGCGAGTCGAACGCCGTAATCACCTGGTCATGCCAGGCCAGGTTAAAGTTAATATGGTGGTCTTAAATATTCCTACGAGCTCGCACATTAAATCTTCATCGAAACGTGAATCTTTACATTTAGACCTCTGGAGCGAGTGATATGGAAATCGAATTACTTGTGGACCCAAGAACTTAAATAAACGCTATTAGTATTATGTGTTTAACCGTAATTACAGGTCGTTGAATAAACTGGCCTACCACAATAAAAATATGTTTGTGCACTTAAATGCGTAACTCATTTAAGATAAAGTAGAATATTCTTATAGAGCTTGGATACAATAATACAATGTATTTGCCTTTAAATTTCAAACTTATGATTTTAAAAAAGAAGATAGTGTATTATGTAAAGTTTTGGATTTTCAGAGCAGTGATATACTAATGAAGAAAGTGTTAAAGAATCAATTAGAGAATTAAATATCAAGTATGCTTACTGTTGGGAAAATAAACTATTTACTGTTAAACCATACTTGTGTTTTTCATGATGTAATACGAACGCTATGCTTCCCTGTTAATGCATTAAAAAATTTATATGATTAGTTAAAAATAGAGTTTTCTAACAGTAGCTTAGAAAATGTTTATATGTGTACGATTACTGTGTCACTGTGTTGATAACACGTGCCAGACAACTACTGGTAGCTGATTGATTTTCTAAGATTTATCATCGAATCTGGATCAAAACGTTTATATGCCTATGATTGTTTGCATTTTGATTGGCTTCACAATTTAATACTTTCCCAGAATTTTTTGTTACATTTTTTTGCTGTTAGTACAACGTTTAATTACGTGATCACTGTAAACGCTGCTATAAATGTTAACATGTACGTATATTGGCGACTTTGTTTAGTCAATACTAAAGTAAGATACACGTACGTATATTGGCGACTTTGCTTAGTCAACACTAAAGTAAGATATATGCAAGTAATTTGTCGACTTTGTTTAGTCAATACTAAAGTAAGATACATGTACGTATATTGGCGACTTTGCTTAGTCAACACTAAAGTAAGATATATGCAAGTAATTTGTCGACTTTGTTTAGTCAATACTAAAGTAAGATACATGCAAGTATATTGTCGACTTTGTATAGTCAATACAAAAGTAAGATATATGTACGTATATTGTCGACTTTGTGTAGTCAGATCAAAATACGTTATATATGTATCATCCACAAATTGCGTATGTTTTAGACTTTCAGTATAATAGTATTCATAACATCGAACACACATATTGCATTTACATGATCGATTCCTCTGTTATGTTGAAATCGTGTATCTTATAGCCTATTTGTTCCTGAATTACGTATTGAATTTAACTATCACATACGTAGAAATAATCTTACAGATATGTGTAAATCTTAACGAACAAGCAAAGTTTAATTTCTTGCCCAGGAGGATTTCTGCTAGAGCCTCTACCGGAAGAGGATTTCGAACATTCTACTGTCCCGATTTTCCTAGAGCAACCCCAGGATAGTTTCGTGGTGAGAAACAAGCCTGCTGTCATCCATTGCAAAGCCCGCCACGCCCTCCAGATTTACTTCGAGTGTAACGGTGGATTAATTCACCACCGACAACACAACCAACAACATTTTGTGGATCCGATGACGGGAATCCGCCAACTGGAAACTTCGGCTGACATTACCCGAAAGGACTTGGAAAATTATCAAGGTTCTGACACGTACAGCTGTGTCTGCCATGCCTGGTCACCAACCGGTAGGACTCATAGTCGAAAAGCTATTATCAGGATAGCATGTAAGTCTTTGAATTTTTGTTTCTGTTTTTATACAAACAAAGATCCGCAAAAAGTTTGCGATTAAATTAATATCCTTATTGCAACAACAATTTTGTAAATGCAAGATTTTTAGAATAATACGTTAGCTCGTTTTAAAACGTTGATGATCTTTTAATATGTTGTTGTACAAAATGTCTATTAAAGTATATTTACATCCACCTTTTGTTTACATCCGTTGAAATAAGTGCGCGCGCAAGCGCATTTAGATAATAAGGTGCGCGCGCATTTCCAGGACATACAAAGACTGAGTAACGTTATAATAGATTTTGAAGCTTAATATAATTTTTCACTTACTATCTTGTTTTACAAACTCAAAATATTAATTAAAACTTATTTTCCCTATCTATGATATTTGTATTTATTCTAGTACTCAGTTTTACAAAACAACAACTGACTTCCATTACCCACTAACGACATTTTAGGGAAAAGGTAGATAGTGATTCTCATTACTATAAAGTTTAGAAAATGTGATACTTGTGAACATAGGGAATGTTAGTGTGCACAGAGTACTAGTTCGATGGTTTATGGTTTCCGTCCCGTTGCCGCAAAAAGCTCTGCACTTCGGGACAGTGGATTCATTATAATAGTGACGGTCGAATTTCACTATTCGGTCCAATAAGTGTAGTTCAACAATGGGTGGTGGATGATATTGACTGGCTACTCACTTTCTATTCTATTAGTTCAAAATTAGGGACAGCTATGTGTAGGTAAGTCATGTGTAGTTTTGCGCGAAATTCTAAAAACAAGACAAACAACTTACATAATTAACGTAGCCATAGAATTCATGTCATGTGTTTTAACAAGTGAAGCCCATTAACATGTTTACTTGTAGATGTTTCTTATTTTTTGTTACTCTAGTATACGTTTGGTTCACTCATCAGTGGCACTATATTGTTAAGTTAATCATATTAAAAGCATGGTTTAACATATAATGATAATTCATTTTTTATTTGGAGGTTTAGTTTTCTCTACTTTTCACACACATGTTCGCTTAACAACCATTAATCATGTTTATTTTCCATTAATATAACGTGATTAATTTGGTTAAGAACCTTCCTTCCTTACATTTTTTTTTTTTTTTTTACTTTTTGGAGAGAAATTCTCGCGAAATATATATATATGTTGATATGATTAATGTTTTAAACATTGAACTAAATAGAAAGTTTTAAAATTAAACCATAAAGGTTGTAACGGAGTACTGTCTGGTTCCCTGAAAAATGGTTAGAAACACTTTTGATAACTTGCTTTCTCGAATATCGGATTATTCAGTATTCCTTATTTTTTTATCAACCCAATTTATTTAAACAGTTTAAACATTTAGTTTACGGCTTTCAGCTCATTTTTAGGTATCCAAGGAAGTTTAAATTTTAATATAAGTTACTAAAGTTCGATACTTGGTTTCATATTGAGCTTTCAGCCTTCCTTCTGAATCCTTCGTCAGTCAACTGAATAATGATTTTTTTTGGTATTCATGGAACGGTTTTAAAAATTATTTAACAAAGCATCAGTATAAATGTAACAAATTTCACTGATTTTTCAAAAACAATTAAATTATTTAATTGAATTTGGTCCCCCGCTGGCGGTAATTCTACGGATTTACAACACTAAAATCAGGCGTTCGATTCCCCTCGGCGGACACAGCATATAGCCCGATGTGGCTTTGCTATAAGAAAAACATAAACGCATTTAATTGAATTTGAGCACTAAAAACCGATAACAACATGGATTTTAACATCGCAAAAATATTTGACAACGAAAAAAATAACTAAAAAAACAAACACCTAGGAAGCTCCTGTCATCCAATTTCATACCAGTGGACTTCCAATTGGCGTTAATAAAACAACAGTGATCAACCACTTAACTTAAACACCTTCCATCAAATAAATCTTGTTTGTCGTAGTCTTGACAGGAAATTACAATTATAGTATTATAATTAAATTAGGTTAATATGCAATGTTTGGG